TAGCTACTTTCCATCCGTTTACTCGGAAAAGGTTAAAAAGAAATCTCGTCGTCAAGCAGCTGGAGAGAGTACCTTTCACTTTTTCTCCCTTCCTGGACGAAAGCCGCGCAGCCTCACCGCCGGCAAGCTTGTTCTGGTTGGTCTGTAGCACACCGGCCTTGCTTGGATCTGGATCTCGCCGGTGATCTGGACCGCTCCAGCTGTCCAGCTGCTGTTCGAGCTCACCTCCTCCACTCACTGCCAAATGCTGCATCGGAGAAAACGGATTCAGCCTCTAGGAAACGAAGGAGAAGTAGTAGATTTAGTTAGTCGTTAATCACCAGTGAGAAGTCGGAGGCGGGGGAGTCGTTATCGTGAGCGTCGGAGGTGAAGGAGCAGCGGTCGACGCTGGCTGAGGCGGAGGAGAAGAGGCTGAAGTTGGAGGAGTCCTGCGTGAAGATGACGGAGTCGGGGCTGGCGTCTCGGGCGCTGAACACGGCGGCGGAGGCGGAGGAATGCTGAAGGTGGAGAGAAGGTTGTGCAGCTGCTGCTAGCTCCGGCATTTTTCTGATCTGCGAGGAGGATTTAAGCTTTCTTATTATGCTGCTGTGTTGCTTTCTTCTTGCTTTCACATTCTAAAGAGATCGAGAGAGGGACGGAGCGAAGAAACCGGAAAGCGAGATGGGGGTGTGTGACAGTGAGAATGATGGATTTGGATTTGCAAAAGATTCCGGTCGTCCGTTGATTTTGGCTTGTGGAGGATGCGACGAGTACGAGCGTGACCGGGAGAGGGAATTAATTTTTTCTTTGTGCGGGGAGGAGGGTCATTATTATTGAGACAACAGACCACATGAATAAGACAATTTAATTAATGATTTAATTCAATTTTCTTTTCAGAGGAAAAAATTATATGAATTAATTTACTTTCTCGGCGTAAATTATTTCTTCCCAAAAATGTTATATTCGTGGATTTCTACGAAGCTGTTCCCGCCACGTCAGCATATTAACCGGACTCGGTTGACCGTAGACGGGGACCGTCAATTGACTGCGCTTGCGAGAAAAGAGAGGGGAAGGGAAGGAAATGACGGTAGGGTCCCGCGATAATGAGCTTGGTCCCTCGACCCTCGCGCGTCTAGGTGTTAATACTCGGATTATACTGGTAAAACATAGGAATTAGAAGTATTGCTATTAATTAATATGTTAATAATTATCGGATCTTGCATGCATTTATTTAGTAAAAATGTTGCTGTGTACGAATATATGATTCTGAATATTATGAATTAAGATGTAAGACTATCTCCAATAGAAGAGTTAAAAGTAACAAAAAGATCATATTTTGATCTCAATAAATTAACGATTGTGAGTCGTATAAGGAGTAATGCAAGAAAAGTTAACGGTAGGATATTATGAATTAAAATCGTAGTTGAACCATTTCATATTGTTGAAATAGCTTACTGTTTGAAATTTTGTAACTAATATTTCCGGTCCGATCGACCGATAAAGGGTTTCCTCAACATTGCGATAAACCAGTATCTTAGAAGTGATAATTTGTCTTATGATCGAATTTGGATCCCAACGATGAAAATTCAGATTTCTCGATGTATTATGTTTTTGTGATTGATAATCAACGGTGGGTCTAGAACACGGTAGAGCACTGGGTCGCATTTCATTAGAAAATTAGATACTGTAAAAAATCAAAATTATTTTTACAATATCAATTGTACACGTCGATCTTTTAAATTTTAATATAGTGAATTCATCAATAATGGAGTCTACATCCATACCAATAGCATACTCTCTTTCAGATAAAATCGTTAACCAATTGATGAGATAGCTCATTTTGTTACGCAAATCATTTTTCACCTGTATTATTGTTGAAAAGGGTTCTCTCCATAGTAGTTGTTGAAACGGGCAATGTCAACACTAGACAAATCAATCGACTAACAATTTGTATTGTGTGTCAATCCCTATTTCCACCTGCTACTTTAGCAATTTTTCAAGGGAACAAACCTCATCTTTCTTTTAGTCTTTTACGTTTTAGACTTTCAGAATTTTAGGTTTCATTGTTTGTTTTTCTTTAGACGAGAATCATTGGAACTAGAATTTTCTTACTAAAATCAAAATTCATAAGTACTATACTAGCTCTGAATCTAGGAGAGGGCTTTGCCACCGCCTAGATCCGCCACTGTTGATAATATCATATGTATTTATAGACGGAAAAAGTTGTGTGAAAGTTAATAACAGTATATATCAAAGTATACATTTTAATCATTAGATATATAAAAATAACCATCGAATTATCTGAATAAAACACTCGACTAATTTTGTTCAAAGCTTTTTCCTTTTCCATTATATGAATATCATTTGTCATTTTGCAACTCTCCTATTGGAGATGGCGTAAGTGCGAAGAACATAGCCGAAAGGGTCCCAGATAGTCAGACAAGGCGGGGGGCAACATTGACATCTGCGTTTTTTATCTCTTCGTTCTTGCTCTTTCGTTTTCTTTGTCCACAAGCGGTGGCATCTCTGCATGAATGATGATAAGTGGCGCGGGGGCAATAGAAAAATCTGTGAAAAATTTGTCCACAAGACAGGTTTTGGGAGGACATACGACATTTCATGTCGGGGAGAGAAGAAATCATTTGAGGGGCGGTGTCCGTTATGCACTGATGTGATTTCTTTTCTGTTATTTCTCGGGTATGCTGTTTTTTTTTTTTTTTTACCGTTACGGAGAAGATGACAACGGAACGGATGAAACTGAGCCTGGTGTTGCAAAATAATAATACACCAAACTGAATAATACACCAAACTGGGTTGGAGAGTGCTTAGCGAAGGTTTTGTTTGGATTTTGCGTGGGAAATTTCCTCTTTTCAAATTAGTTGTTCAAACAACGGTTGGGTCTATATGGATGGGCGGGCTATTTTAGCAGTTAAATAATTGGTTCAAAAGAAAGAAAGGATAGGGATGGGTTAGTTCTATAGACTAATTAATAATTATATGTTGGGGTTTAGTTTTTTGAAAGCCATAGGTTGGTTAATGGAACAAAACTAATCGCATTTGGAATGCAATGTTTTATTCATAATATAATGATTCATGTCCGTCCGTCGAGGTAATGTATGTAATTATCTATTTCATATTACGTGATTTTCTTTTTAATTGAGCTTTAACAATCACTGTGTACGCCAGTAAAAAAAAAAGAGTAAAATATTGTTCATCCCTCTCTAATCTCTATCTCGTCCCTCCAATTTGATTGTGTTCCTTCCCCCATCACACCCTTGAACTGATATTATAGTCTGTCTAGTTTTTTCCATCAATAAAAGATTAGAGCTATAACTAGTTCAAATTAAAGGCGAGGCAACAATGATGATGCCATGTAATTATAATGATGTGAATCCCGGGAAAAAGAGAGAGTGGCAGTGGCAGTAACGCATTTTTTTGCTTTCACAGAACCCCAAGATAATGGGCGACAACATTTGATTATTAACTGGGGGGCACGAATTATAGGCTTCCTCCGGATTAGCCTCTCTCGTGCTTGTTGCATAATCCTCCTTTTAAACCCCTACTTCTCTTTGGTTAATTACTTAGTGCTGTAAATTAACATAGCAATAGGGATGGCAACGGCCCAATTTGAGGCGGGTATCACTAAACACACGCTTTGTCCCGCCCTGTCCCATGCTCTGTGATCGGTTGATTGATTTCGTCCAATTTTCATCCTACCATGTTTATGATGTTGAGCAGCTAGTGTCGTCGTCGGAATTGCCAAGCAGCCACCATCCCATTGCTTTCAACGATGGTTGATGTTCATGTTCTCCCATTTCGCAAAACATATCAACCAATGGGTTAATTGAATATATGATGATGTCGGCCAAGGAAAGGAAGGCAATCCGAAACAACAAGGTGAGAAATATTGAGAGTTTGACAAACAGATACATATAATTCGTATGAGGCGGAACAAGACGGGACGACAGCTATACCCATGCCTACCCTGTTTTATGTATCGATCGGATTAAGACCCTCCACATTCTAGCACGACTCGAGTTTTATTTACCTCATTACGAAGTGGCGTGGGAATACCCATTGAGGCGGATCTGAATTACCACCACTACAAAGCAACTAACAAAAAAAAATTATAATAACAATCATCTTATTACAACCTAATTACACATGTCTCCGCCATGGAAAGTGGAGGTACAATCGCTAGCATAACCGATCTCGTGCCAGCGTGAGAATGATCAAAAGGCACGTGCCGTGCCCCCTCTTTTCTCTTTCGAATCGGAGGATCAATTTGTAATTTTGTACATTAGCAATTCCTTTCTGACACATGCATGCAAATGCAAATCACGAAACCAACCACCCTGGATCCCTCTGTATTGAATAAGATGCGTGCCTAGAGTTGTTCGTTATAGTCTAGGGCCGGCTATCCTTCTATATAGATATGCTAATAAGATCGGTCACTAATATAATTAGCTGTTAAAAGAGGTTTAGCGTTGATTTCCAGTCCAGCCCAGTTGTTGAAAGTCAAAACACATGTAATTATTCCACTTCATAGCAGCTGCTGCTGCTTTTTACCTGCCCACCGTGCTCCCAGATTGAATGAAATGCGATTGTCAGCAGGTGGAAGGAATCAAAACTCTTCTCACTTATACACAACAAGATTGTAATCCTGGCTTTAAGTTCTCAAGTCAAGACTTATTCGAGTGGGATTTCACATTTGAATCTACCCTTTCACAAAGATTCTTCTCAAATTACCATTGAATCCAACTAAAAAAACAAGATGAAAGGTAACAAAATTTATGGCTGAAACTAGGCCTGAACCGTTGCTAACCCTATAAGAACCCTGTCTTGCCCGTCGCTGCAGGGCCAATTTATAAAACTTACTAGCTCTCCTGTTTCCTTATTCTGTCTGAGCCTCAAGAATTAGGACCAGCCGGTGAGTCGGCTCAAATCAATACAGAGATTTTTTAAAATTATATTTTAGTAGCCAAATTTATGTTTTCTTACAATGGAGTACCTATTTTTTTCTTTTTTACAAATTAGGTCTATAAATATTGGTGATAAAGTTACACTTTTATCACATTTGTATCATTTTAGTTTGCAATTATAGTACTTAAAGTGACCCGGTACCAAGTTGACCCAATCCTACCCAGACATTACAAGGTTAAAAAATGACCAGACTCTAAACTGACCTTGTAAACAAACGGACGCAACCCAATCCTCATCGTTCAGTCGGGTCAGTAGGTATCTAAGAATTTGCATAATGAACTGACCCACCAATAGAAATTTCAAAAAGAGTAGCAGCCGGTGCCGGCCAGGTTGTCTTTCATAATGAACTGACCCAACCCAACCTCAGCCTCAGGTCGTTTTCAGGATTCAATTTCCTAACAAGACCCTCGCACCACACCACACACAAAAACAGAGAGGCCCTGACAAATGTTTGATTTCTCCAAACAGAAACAGAGCACAATCAAATGTGTATCCATCCGTTTCAGCTTCATAACCAAATGCTCCAACCACTGCATTCATAGCTTAGCTGCTTTTCTTTCGCCTCCGTAACCATTGGTTACCAATGTGATAACTGCTTATTTATCACTATACCTAAATATGGAAACAGAGGGTAAAAGGTCAAAGTTCAGAACTTATTGAAGCCCAGAAGGTAGATGGTCCCTATTTAGCTTAAAGGGTTAGTTGACCATCAAAGCTCCAACCCTTAATCCCAACCCAAAAGGAAAACTACACTAATGTCAACCTTTTGATTAGCGACCCACATGCAAGTTGCAACACAGAGGAAGCTGTCAGAATAGATGGGGTAGCTGTACAACTTCGAGCTACAGAAAATCTTCAACTAACTAGTACTAAACTAGAGGGGGGCACTAGGAATTATAAAAACAACTTGGCAACTGCTTAATAAGAGTAGGAGATGTAGCTAATTTAGGTGGGAATCTAAACACTTGTTGTACCTGCTACGATGATAGGTTGACGTCCTCCTTCCTTGCTTCCTCTACCAGCCTGCCTGGCATTGGCATTCTGATTAAAGAAGCTTCATAAGAAACTCAAACAGAGAAGTCATAACAAAATCGTATGGGTATATACACCCACCTAATTGGTTTGCTTGTTAATCTGAACAATGATGAATTTCTAAAGTTGGCTGCTTTCCAAGAATTTGGTTTGAGCACGAGTTTTCCTTACAACCAGTACGACAGCAGCTTCTCACACAAGTCCATAAGTTACCAAAGCTACTAGCCTACTACCACTGGTATTCAACTTCAGCCGCTACTTGTTAAATGTTATGCTTAGATATAATGGCAAATTTGGAGGTGTATCCTCGAAAGTCAGTGCTAAATCAAGTGGGGTTTTATCGTCCATGAACTGCTGTGTCGCGGAAGTAAGCTGTTACTGCTTTCAACCTGCCATTCAAGAAGTTCTTCTCTACCTGGAACCATGGCAAAATACTTTAGTAAAGAGAACAAACGGTAATATGGTTTCTTCCTACATCAAGAAATACTAAGCCGAGGGAAACTGGAAAGTGAAGCAAAGTGGGGGGAAAAGGTGATGATGTATGTACCTCTAAAGACCAAGGAGGATTAGCAGATAGAGCCAACTCGGCCAACTGATCTAGATCGACATTTTTTGGGAGGAACATTAGAATTTTTGGCGCAAGTTGCTTTGCAGTGTTGAAGAGAATATACCTGTATAAGTACACTGAAGATCAGAGAGGATAAAGAGCTACTTGAGTATAGGGACAGAAAAAGTTCTAAATAAGATAATACCCGTCGTGTGGTTTAAGCATATTGATGTCATAAGTCTCCATTTTAACATAATCCGGGCCACCCCAAGGTGGCGACAGAAACACTGTGTCAGCCAGTCCCTGCAAAAGAGAAAGGTATCACATAGGGTAGTAGCAGACTGGGAAACCACACATGAATATGAAAATAACTAAATTCAAATGAGAATGCACGGATGCAAGTGAAATAGCAAATGTAACACATTATCTATACGCTGTTATAACAACCAGTGCCAAAGTTCTTTCTTGATATAAGAAGATACAGCCCCCTGCTCCCTTACAAAAGAAGTCAACAATTATTGAACACTCATCAAAGCAAGTGCACAAATCCTCAAGCAGCAGAGATGAATCATGAAAGTCTAACCTCACAAGAATCGGGAAAAGGAGGAAACAAAAAAAAATGACTAGAAGTAATTTTCATGTGGAAGCCAGAATTACCCTGAAACTTTAAGGTTTATAGAGGTAAAACTGTGTAGAAATAAAACATATTATATATCCATATCTTACCATACAAGCCAGAAAGCCAAACTTGTTAATGTGCATAAAGTTATCGTTTTACTACCTTCAGTTTTGGTGCCAAATTGAAGAAGTCCCCCTTTATGAAATCTATATGGTCATCAACTTCATAGATAGTAGCATTGTGATGGGCATAGTCCATCTTTTGTGGATCTATATCAATTGCAATAACATGTTGGCACCTGAAATATACAAAAAAAAAATCACACATCAACAAGAGCGCCAAAAGTCAGATACATATCTAATAAACCTTCGTCAGTTAAAGTAAGGAGATCTTATATTCTGAGAAATCCTAAAAGGCCAACACATATCAGTGCATAGTTCTCCAGATAATTGCCATAACTTGTGAAACAAATGAGAAGAGGATACTCTTACAGCATTACAGAATTCCATCAATTAAAAGTAACTTCACAATAAAGAGACGAGGAGAACAAAGCACCAACCATTGAGCAAATTGGATAGCATTTCCACCAACTCCTGCGAAGCAGTCAATAACAATGTCATCAACACAATGCAGAGCATGATGCCCAGCTATTAGCTCAGGTGTTACAGAAAACCACCCTTCCTCATCCATTCTTATACCGTCATCAAATCTAGAGAATAGAAGGTATCGCTGACACCAGTACTTCTCAAGAGAGGCAGAAAGCTCCTCCGGAACAACTTGACTTTGGAGATCTGTTCAAAGCAAACCAGTGATCATAAGAAGACTGAATGACCAAGACATGACACCACTCATACAAAGTATTGAACTGATAAGTCACACAACCACCTCAACTTATTTCGAACATAGACCTCCATATTGTTTTACTTTATTCACATTTCATTATGACACGAATGAAAAATCTGAACTTTGGTCTTGGCAAGTAACGAAAGCTGTGTGGTCAGTCTAGGCACTAATTGCAATTAGCAAAAGTAACTTTTCATAAGCCAGGAATACGGCATTTGTGGATTAAAAACACATGCTGAATACAGGATTACCAACCTATTTAAGTGCAGTTACAGTATTAAAACCAATGTCACTACAGACAACATTTCTTTTACAGGCAATTGAATTGTTTATACAATGAATCAGAAGAAGAACAGGAATTGGTAGAAACTAACAGGAATTGGTAGAAACTGAAACAAACAGGGGGGGGAGAGAAAGAGAGAGAGAAAGGCAATTGACCTTCACTATCCTTGGAAGATCTACATCGTGTTCTCTTCCTTCTTCCTTTCCTATGTCTTTTGATAACAAGAAAATCAGGTTCAGTATCCGGCTCATCATTCTCAGTGTTTTTATGTTCCTTATGCTTAACAACATCCACAGTGAGATCATCGTTGATCACACTAGCAAGGTTGAAAACAAGACAGATGTCAGCATTTTTTCCCCGTAGAAGACATGCTGATAATTGTAGCAATTAGCATTCATCCTAGCTTCTTAGAGATAATTGCGATAACACTCAAACAGTGGTAACTAGATAAATATAGCTTAACCCTGATATGAAATCAAGGCTCCCAAAATGAGATAAACCACAAAGATATGTATTACCTGTTAATATTGCCATGCTCCTCCAAAGCCGTTTGCTGGGGAATATCACCAAGACAATCTTTATCATTGCCCTCCTGTTCGCCTGCATTCTCCAAACAGCCATTGATGGTCGAGAAAGTCAAGCTTAGCAAAGTGCTTTCAGAAGCAAGTCCATCCCCATCACAGACCTCATTGGATGGCTGATCTGCTATTCTACTATCATTAGCAGGTTTCTCAAATGATCCAGAACACTTCAACAAGCCACAGGAAACAGAAGGATCACCGTCTATCCCATAGTCTCCAACAATCACGTCATCTGACAGATTAGTACGACTAATGCATACAAGATGCTCCATTCCAGGGGGTGGGGACCATGTAGAGCTATTTGTTTTTGCATTATAGAAGTAATTCCTCATGTAGAAAGAATCCCAGTATACCGCCCAATCCCCAAAAGCACCATTCTGGTCATGACTCTCTATCCCATTATCTCCAAGCACTTCTGAACCCTGGGGCACTGCAGCCATAGAAAATTCAGGCCACTCCATGTGGTTCTCGCACTCTTGAAGATTGTGAACAACAGGGTAGTCATGTAGGCAATCCTTCTCCATCAAATCGACAACTTCTTTCGGGCCATCAACCATGTCTGGAGTCGCTGCATCTGAACCGCCCGAAATTGTATTCTTTTCATCATAGTCATCGTTAGTCATGTAAATAGTTCCTGATAGAGTCAGACCCCTCTCACATTCACCACACTGATCAGCAAACATTGGCTCGGGAGGAACCTTAGTTGGACTCTCGGAATCTTCAATACATAGATCTTTAGAATTGCTGGTATCCACAGAAACATCATAGTAACATGACTCACTCGTGCCCAGCATTGATATGCAACATATAGAATTGCTTTCGTTATCATGCAAAACAGTAGGAGATACAGTCCCTGCTTCACTCACTTTGGAAACTTTCAATGATTCATTAGCAGTGGTGTCATGATTGTGAGCATGCTTCATAACCGCCCCTTTTCTTTTGCCTTTGTTGGTCTTATTCTTTATCTGCCAGTGCCAGCAACGAAATGGAACTAATCTTCAGTTGTAGGAAATAACAAGCTTTGATAGCAGTAACGGTAAAAGTTCATTATTTCTAAAGAACACTATTGGAAGCTGACACCAGCATGGATGCCCCCTATGCCATTCCAGAAATCCAGACCTAAGTTCCCCGCTTCAACCATTTGGTAAGATGGTAACACAAGATTTATTCATAATTCCCCACAACAATCTACAGGTAATCCACCTACAAAGCTGAAAACTTCCCAGCATGTTTATGGAGCCCCATCTATATGCATTACAGGTAGCTAACTATCTCTAAAGGTTAATCTCGATAGTATACCTTTTTATTCGACTGGAAAGCAAGGGGAAGCCCTAGAGCATCCATTTGTTTGCTCAATTCGTCATCCTCCGTGGAAGGGCCAAAATCTGAACAAAGAAAAGACCAATGAAATAACACCAACTCAGAGACAAATCGTCGAACAGTTCATTCACCAAGAATGCATTAAAGACAAAGCGTGAAAAATCTCCCAAAATGTTCCCCACCCTTACTACAAGTCTACAACAGTACAACTACATAACATACCAGTAGCAACTGCAGGACTATCGGAGGTGGTATCGTCCTTCTCTGGAGGCGATTCCTGTGTCCCAAGGACCCAAGCAAACAAAAAATATAAAGAACTCATCGCCGTCAATTACCAGAACACACAAAAAATTCCAAATTGCCGCCGAAACTGAAACCAGAAGCTCAACAGACACGAGGTAACTCACAATGGATTCCGGGAATATGGACACTTCTACCGTCTCCGTTGAGCCGTCGTCCCTGCACAGAGAAGTCGATATTCGATTAAAGCGAAGCATGAAACGGTAAGTTTTCCGGGGAAGAATTCACAGAAAGGGAAAACGGAGGAGGGTAACCATATGTAGACTTCAGTAAGCTTGAACAGGGATCCGAGAGCTCGAATAGCTTGGAAGCTTGACCTTCCTTCTTCACCTTCCTCCATCGCTGTCGGCGACGGCGACGGTCAGCTCAAGTCAAGAGGGAAACTGACCGACAGAAGCCTACTGGCGCGACCAAGGCGAATTCAACTCCGCTTTGATATATGCCCGTCTCGAATTTCTTCGGATTAAATAGTTTGAATTATTACAGAATTGATCACCAAATTTTTGGTAACTAACAAATAAGCCACTAATCCTTAAAACGGCGCCGCTTAATCATTCCAGTCGAGAGAAGAGAGAAGAAAATCCCTTTCTCGCGTAGAGCGAGCACTGTAAACGAAGTCTGGTCACCGGTGAAGCAGTAGAGACGGAGGGCTCAGTGGCCGACTATAAAACGGAGCGATGATGGAGGACGGCGAGATAGTGGAGGCGGTCGCCATGGACGAAGACTCGCAGCTGCTCAAGAATGGGAAGTCAGCCTACGACAGGCTTCGCGAAAGCAAAGCTTTAGTGGAGGAGATCGTCTCCCAGATTCTCTCCGTCAAAAAGGACGGCAACTCAAAATCCCAGCTCCGGGAGCTCGTTACTCAGACGTTTCTCCACTTTATCACCCTCCGCCAGGTCTGCCGCCGGACAAAAAAAAAAATCTCTCGGTTTTCGATCTCCTTTTGTGCTTTTTCTATCCGTCTAGGGTTTTGACTTTCGAACGGAAGAATTTTGTAGGCGAACAGGTCGATTTTGCTGCACGAAGATCGAGCGAAGACGGAGACGGAGAAAGCGAAGGCGCCGGTGGATTTCACGACTCTCCAGCTCCATAACTTGATGTATGAGAAGGGCCACTACGTGAAAGCTATCAAGGCTTGTAAGGACTTCAAGTCCAAGTATCCAGACATTGAACTCGTCCCTGAAGAAGATTTCTTCCGTGATGCACCTGAAGATATCAAGAGTTCCGTCTTGTCCAGCGATGGCTCCCACAATTTGATGCTCAAAAGGCTCAACTACGAGCTGCACCAGGTAAACGCGCAGCAGAATATATTCGATTTGGGGTACTGCAATACGCTTGAAGTGAGTTTTGGACATGGTGGCATTCTGATTGCGAAATGTTGTTGGTTGAAATCAGCGGAAAGAGCTCTGCAAGCTTCGGGAGAAATTGGAGTTACAGAAGAAAAGTCTTGCGGAGATGATTGCTAATAGGAAGAAGTTTTTGTCAAGTCTGCCATCACACCTTAAGTCCCTCAAGAAAGCATCTCTGCCTGTACAGAACCAATTAGGGGTTCTGCATACGAAGAAGTTAAAGCAGCATAGTTCAGCAGAACTGCTTCCTCCTCCACTCTACGTGATTTACTCACAGTTGGTGGCTCAAAAGGAGGCGTTTGGGGAAGAGATTGACCTGGAAATTGTTGGGAGTTTGAAAGATGCTCAAACATTTGCTCGTCAGCAAGCAAATAAAGAAAACAGTAATTCATAGCTTGACTCTTTTGCCAAGTCTTCTCTGAGCTAGCAGTTATAGTTTCATAGCTTGTCTGTACTTTGCTGTGCATTTAATGCTCTACAAACTTGAAGTAGCCTAAGAAACTGAATTGAGATGTTATTGTAATTGTTCAGGTGCATCTGCAAATGTGGAGACTTTGAGGATTGAAGATGATGTACCTGATGATGAAGATGATGCCCAAAGAAGGAGAAAACGACCAAAAAGGGCACCTAGTAAGGAAAATCCTGATCTGGCAGGGGTTCATCAAGTTCACCCGCTTAAGCTCATTCTTCATATACTTGATGATGAGGCTTCTGATCCGAAGTCTGCAAAGCTCATTACTTTGAAGTTTGAATACCTGTTAAAGCTAAATGTTGTATGTGTTGGAGTAGAAGGTTCACATGAGGGAACTGAGAACAGCATTCTGTGTAACTTATTCCCTGATGATACTGGCCATGAACTTCCGCACCAGGTAAAGATATTCTCAGTTTCTTGTGCCATTCTTGCACTATTAAAAAGACATGATTCTCCTTTTGTTGATTGTTGGTTTATTTTCTAATATTGCTGTCATACTTTGGTTTCATTGCAGTCTGCAAAGCTCACTACCGGTGATGGTCTTTCCTTTGATGAAAAGAGAACTTCTCGTCCATATAAGTGGGCCCAACATTTGGCAGGGATCGATTTCTTACCAGAGATTGCACCGTTACTTGGTAGTCTTGAAAATTCAAGTGGCGAAACGTCTAAAGCTGATGTTGTATCTGGGTTATCGTTATATCGACAGCAGAATCGGGTTGAGACAGTTGTCCAAAGAATACGCTCTCGGAAAAGGGCTCAGCTGGCTCTTGCGTGAGTCATTGTTTTTTATAGTTAGAGGGGTTTTGTGATCAAGGGCGTAGAATTGATAAACTTGAAAATCAACTGTATGTTGCTGGATGGCCAACTGGCATAGTAGCTCTTAAACCCTAGATTGCCTGGCTTGCACTGGTTGTTGTGGCCTCTATTCAAATAAAGTTTTTCATATTATAAGACATGTTAATTGCTTCGCAATTTGAGTTTTCCTTTTCCTTGCATCCTCCCTTTGCTATGATTTATAAACTAATCAGTTCATTAATGAGTTTTTGTTTAAAGTTTGGAATTCTCTGTTTATTGTGGCTTACAGGGAGCAGCTTGGTTCACTTATGAAGCTAAAGTGGCCTCCTCTGAATTGTGAAAGCGTTCCTTGGGCTCTACATTCTTCTTTATGCAGTTTGGATGGTTGGTCATCAATAGGAACCCCACCTAGCCATCCTTCTTTACATACAGAGCAAGTTGAGGAATCCATGAATATTGACACCGATGGACGAACCGGCACTTCAAAGGGAGGGTTAGAAGGTGTGAGGGAAGATGGGGAGCTCCCATCTTTGCTTCAGGCTGGTTCCGCGATGGCAAACGATATGAAGCAGCTTACTTCTACTTCAAAGGTATCATCCAGTGCAGAGCAGTCTAGGCAGCTGACTTTGATCTCAAAGACTGTTATCTCCCCATTTAGCAAGGGAAAATCACATAGCTTTAAGAAATACGATGAGGATTTAGATCCGACTTTGGATTTTGATAGTGATCATGACGAGCTGGCCACTAATGAGCAAGATAACGAAGATATGGCTTCTATTCAACGCCTTGAACTATCCTTGGATTCTTGGGTTGATTTTGGTGCTAAAGAGTACTCCCTTGTCTTGGCAAGAGAACTGAGTGAAGGCAGAAATGTGAAGTTAGAAGCAAAGGTACTGTGAAGTTCTATGGATTACAAGCAAATGCTTCAGTAAGTTAAGAACCCTTTTGACATAATTGCCCTTGTCTGCCATGGCAGATTAAGATCAGCATGGAGTACCCTCTTAGGCCGCCTCTGTTCTGCGTGAGCCTACTTATTTCAGAAGGAAGCCAAGATGAAGGCGACAATCGCTCTAGATCGTACAACGAACTTCGTGCAATAGAAGCAGAGGTGAGCAATTTTAAAGTCCTAGTTGAATGTATCTGGATGGATGTCAGAATATTTGGAGAAAGCTAATGTTTATCTTGTTGGGATTGATGATTTGTTAGGTGAACCTCAATATACTGAAGCTAGTGCCAAGTGATGAAGAAAACAACATCTTAGCCCATCAAGTTCGCTGTCTCGCCATGTTGTTCGACTATCTGATGGATGATGAAGCATCATCACCTGGTGAAAAGAATACCCATGTGGTTGATGTTGGTTTGTCCAAGCCGGTCCGTGGTATGATTCTTGCCAGGTCATATAGAGGAAGGGACAGGAGGAAGATGATCTCCTGGAAGGACATGGATTCCACATCTGGCAACTTGTAGACAGAATCTAGGGTTTCCTCTTTCAGTTTCATGTTTGTTGTCCTTTCAAATTCAGCAAATGTTGTATTTTTTGCGATTAAGCTCCAAATTAGAGACTGCAGGCTGAAAGTAATCTTATCATTCATGATCTAAATCGATAGAAAAACCAGAACTTTGGAAAAAGATTGATCAACATGTTTTCTTTTCTATTTCACTGTAATTCTCGACGATAAAAGATTCGATAGAGGGATGATAGTAGAACAATCACAAGGATAAGGGGATGAACAAGAAATAATTTACAGGCCAACAAAAACCCTCCCATCTTTTTTGTAACGGATATAAAGAAAGAAGGCCATGAATTTAATCAACTATTGGTCTGGTTAGCCTATGCACAAATCAGCTATAAACCCATGATCTGGAAACAACTTCCAAACTACAGACTACCATCCTCAGAAGATCATCTTCTCCCATGCACCAAAGCAAGAACCCTTCTCCCCTCTCCCTCCCAATCCTCTATGTAACAGAAAAACTGTTCACCATGGACCGGTCAGTGTTCGTCGCAAGCACCTCCTCTTCCCTCCATTCTCCATGCTCATCATCTCCATCACCTGTTCCGCACACACCATCAAAACAAATTCCCAATGGATTAGAAAAAATGGCTAAAAGTGCATCTCCACATTGAAGGTCAGAAACTTTCAGAAAGGCACACCTGATTTTTCTGCACCTCCATGATTTTGTCCTGCAGCAAGCAAGCCAAAACCTCCATCATCAGCTAAGCTAAATAGGTTAACAGAGTGAAACAAGTTGATTCAGCAAAGCAAACAAAGGAACATAAAGATTAACCTGCTTCCTCCTAAGTTCATCATTCTCCTCTTTTAATTTTGCAACTTCTGCTTCCAACTCCATAGTGTAAGCCTGCAGAAACCCACCTGTTAAGCCTCCATGAAACAAGAACCTGTTGTTAGATTGTAAGATGTCTCATTACCTGCTTACGAGCACGCGACCTAGCAGCTGACTCTCGATTCTTGATCATCCTTCTCTGCCTCCTCTCAACCACCTTCTCAACTGTAGTATTAGGTCTCCTCCCCCTCATACTTCCATTAAACACATAAGGAACAGGTGACACAGAAGAAGTGTCCCCATTGCTCTTCCCTATCCCATCTGACGAAATCTGGCTAGCCGGTGAAACCATCCCACCTTGCATCAACCCATTAGCACCACCAATCCCCTGCAGTGACAGCCCATAACTCCCTCCATTATTAGCCTGCTTTGGAAAGATCTGTGGCAGCGGCGACAGCTGCTGCTGTACCTGTGATTGAACTTGATTTGATCTGACACCACCATCCACATTCACATTCAAATGCAAGTTCGATGCCGGTTGCATCGAAATCGGATTAGCGTTACCATTACTACTAATCAAACCCACCATTCCAAAACCATTGTTAGTGCTGTTGTGATTGCTATTCCCTTGTCTAGACAAATCAGCAAAGAAACCACCAGCACCACCTCCATTGCTTTGCTGAACCTTCCCTCCTACTGCTACATGTGTCTTACCACTACTATTATCTTCTCTAACGACACCAGCTCTCGCCAGAAACTCCTCCAAGGTCATTTCCCCTAAGGTCTGCTGCCTTTGTGGGACAACCTCATTTTTCTCAGTAGCTGCACCACTTCCACTACCGTACTCCCTCCATATGTCCTTCCACACATCATCCACCGTCTTCTGGCTCAGAGTCCTGGGCAGGGTTAGCGACCCCTGCCGCTGCAGACCGTCATGAACCGGCAGCGCCGCCGCCGCCATGTTCAGATTCTGATTCTCCTCCGCGCTCCATATGTTCTTGAGCAGCTCGTCCATATTCATCGACCCAAAGTCCTTCCCCGGAACACCCACCGTGCTTTGGAACTCGTCAAATGTCAAAGAGTATATTGACGACTGCCTTGCCAACGGGAAGTTTAACGGCGTCACCGGTTGCTGCTGCTGCCGGCCGGCGTCGGAGGAGGAAACGAAGTCGTTGGTGAAGTTCCTGAAATTCAAGTTCGTCCCCATTCGGACCAACACGGTTAATTGAAGAGAATCTACAGAAAACCCTCTTCCAGGTCAGCTACAAACCAAGAAAATTGAACGGCCCAGAAGAGCTCCGATTACAGAAAACCCAGCAAGGATTGAGCTCTGGCAGTCAAAATTGATCATAAACGCTTCTTACACAAACCAATTCGTACTGTTTGCATATCTTCGAAACAGCAGAGCTTGATTTGTGAGGTGGGTGAAAACAGAAACGGGTCCAAGCTGATTGGGAAAAAAGGGGAAGAAACCCAGGAGAGCAGGAAAAGGAAAGGGGGAGATTGGTGATCAGTTGGATTCAATAATGTAAAGTCCACATTAGGAAAGGAAACGAGGCAAGGAAGCAGACGAATAAAAAGCCAAACAAACAAAAAGTTGTGGGCATTAGCTAAAGAGATAAGCGCGATGGACATGGAAAAGAAAGGCTACAGCTTTGACATTTTCGAATTAGTTTTCTCAAATTTTCTTCTGTGTTTTTGGGCTGAGAAATTCTCTGCTCTGTGTTTACTTTTTTTTTGGTTGAACGGGAGCAAGCGGGGAAGCGCCAAGTGTCGGCTGCCTCTACTTGGATTTTTGCTACCTTTTAAGGCATGTAAAGGGTTATGTTTTTTTTTCTTTATTTTTTTAATTTTGGTGGGGAAGTGACTGATTAAAATTTAAAAAGGTAATTTAATTATTGAGTTTATTTAAATACTCTATGAATGGGCCAGCTGGGGGGGAGCCGTGGCCCAATGAGTAGAAGGGTAGGAAATTTTGGCGTGACCTGCTGCCACTGTCAGAGTGCAAAGTGTAATGATCTGTCACCGTCCACGTTGCTTAATCTGGAACCGTTGGATTGCAGTGATTGAGGCTTGTTTCGTTTCGCCGCATATCTTTGCCTCTTGGAGAGGTGTTTGTTTGAAACTGTTGCTTTATTATGTTTGGACAAAAATGTCAATATACAACAAATATATACATATATAGAAATATAAGCCTCTGTCTTGGTGTTTACACTGTACGATGTCGTTTTGAACCTGCATACGGAAAATCCAAAGCTCAGCGATAAACTAATGATGATTTTGAACGTGATTACAGGATTTTGTGTAAGATTAGGGTGGTGGACTGGAGCGAGCCCGTGGGGAATAATAGTTGATTAATAATAAGATTAGGAAAGAGCGGTGCGGATTAAGGAATGGCAGGATCCCACGCGCTTACTATAAATGTGAGGGGTGGATCTGGCGGTGAGAACGACGCGCGGGGGAGAATTTGGTCTGGGATAGGATGGCAAAGAAATAAAAGAAATGGAGAAGGTAGGGATTAGATAGATAGATTGCGCAAGAAGGAAGGGAGCTGGGAATGGAGAAGAAAGGAAAAGAAGGGAACATGAAGATGAAGATGATAGATTGACATTTGATACAAGGCATATTCCAACTAACCAACTCTTTGTAGTGGGTGGGATAAGGATTTTTAAATAATACGGATTGTTCGCTTTTTTTTTTTTTCCATATCAGTCCAAAATGTCAAAGTGCACATTTTGGGGTACTACTGCTTAGAAAGGGTGATCTTGATTTTATTATTTAAAACAACTTCCCCGGCATTTTATTCGAACACCAAATCGGGTCGTTTGGACGAGATAATTTGATGAGTTTCGAAACAATTTGTTGGACAAAATTAAAATAGAATGTGATATTTTGTTTATAAGCCAATTGGAATAACTCGTTTTGAATTCTTTGAAATATCTAGTCACTTCCAAATTTATTTCAAATAACTCATCTCCCCACCTCGTCTTTCACTCTGTCCCTTCTCTAAGTGTTGAAACATCACAATATTTTATTTTTCTTTTATCCAAACAAACAGGACAATTAGACCCAATTACCACATTCCAAACTAAAATACCACACGAAATATCGCATAGCAAAATAATGCGACATTTTGAAGAATTTTTTTTTTTTTAGAGAATTGCGACATTTTGATTTGAAATATCACATAACCAAAATGATGCATCAAAACGACCCGCTAGTTATTCTATGGATAAGATAATTAAAATCGGGTATGTCATTCGAAAATTACTACAACATTTTCCTATTCTTTTCTCTCTCTCTCTCTCTTTGGTTCGAAGACGTGGATCTCACTGTAGAAGGTCTCATTTCTAATTTCTGCAGTATAAAACTGTCAATGAGTAAAGTGTATGTTTTTATGTTTTAACCAAGAATGGAGATACTGCTACTTTTTTATTGGTGATTTATCAAACAATTTTTGTCATCTATCTTATCTCTTGTTAAGATTGACTAATTAACGCGTCTAAATTGAGCTAAGAGGTCAAGTAATTTGGCTCCATGTATACACACTTGAAGGGAGAAGATTGCCTTAGGAAAGTCACAAAGATCCCCAAGAGTCAGCAGATGAATAACGAATTGAAGGGAATTACAGATGCAAAACGCCACAAACAGTGAGGTAAGAAGAGAGACTGTAACACTTTACGCAACCTTATATCAACAGACAACAAGTAATATAGAAGAGATTAATAATTGACAAGATTTGTTTTGGTGTGAATGAAAAAGTATTTGTACGAACTCGAAAATGAAACTACGAAGCCGTGTAGAAAATGGATGACATCTAAAAGAATCACTATATTACAATGATTAATCAAACTATGCAAGGATAATATTTTACTAAAAGCGGACAATATCTTAAACGAGAAAATTTATGCGGATGTTATAGAGATGACACTCGGCAGCGAGACTAAACGATAAAAAGTGATGTACCCAGCAAAAAAAAAAGAGAGAAAAGGGATCGTTTGGATGAGTTAATTGTTAATGTGGTATTTGTAGAGTTAAATGGGGTCGTTTGGATGGGTTAATTGTTAATGTGGTATTTGTAGAGTCAAATAACTCTATTGTTCATTGGTATTTCAGTGTTATTTCAGTGGTAATTGAAATAAAGTATCTCGTTTAGTTGAACCATGCTAATGTGGTATTTGACATGTGGTATTTGGTAAAAGCAGAGTAGTAAAACGAGTTATTTCGAAATAACACATGGGTTTGAGTTATTTGTAAATAACTCGTTGTCCAAATAATTCATTTCAGTAAAACGCTGCCAAACGAGTTATTTGTGTCCAAATAGCTCATTGACATAATTTGAACCCAAATAACTCATACAAATAAGTCATCCAACGACCCATAATTTCTTGTTCATGTAATATTTCCGTGTTATTTCTGTATCTTGTTTGGTAGAATCATGCAACGTTTGGATGGGTTAATTGTCAATGTGGTATTTGTAGAGTCAAATAACTCATTTATTATTCATGTGATATTTCAGTGTTATTTCAATGATAATTGAAATAAAGTATCTCGTTTGGTTGAACCATGCAAATGTGGTATTCGACATGTGGTATTTGGTAAAAGCAGAGTGATAAAAACGAGTTATTTCGAAATAACACATGAGTATAAGTTATTTCAAATAACTCGTTTTGAGTTATTTGTAAATAACTCACTGTCCAAATAACTCATTTCAGTAAACCGTTACCAAACGAGTTATCTGTGCCCAAATAACTCAATGTGAGTTATTTGAACCCAACTAACTCATACAAATACTCCATCCAAACGACCCATTGTGTTGTATTTAACATGTGATATTTGGTAAAAGCATAGTGAAAAAAACGAGTTATTTCGAAATAACACGGGGTATGAGTGAAACGAGTTATTTGTAAATAACTCGCTACCCAAATAACTCATTTTAATAAAATATTGCCAAATAAGTTATTTGTGACCAAATAACTCACTCAAATACTCATTCCAAAAAAATATTTATAAATCGGAAAAGTGAGAAGGTTTTTATTATAGTTTATCATCATCGAAAATGGTGGGACTGGATTGGGCTGCACTGTTTCGCTGAGTAGTGGGCCCATTCTGTATCCATCTCCTGTTCGCTTCTAAGCTAAGCCCGCCTCACCTTTCCCTAATCTCCTCCTCCTTGTTGTACGGTTGTGGACTTCCCAGTTCCCACTTAATTAGATCACAAATCTTGATTACCGTATCACTAATCAGTTGACAAATTACTATTTTATTGTACTTTAAACAAACAAACATTTTGGGTTTGAATATGGGATTTAAGGGTTGTTTGGAAGTTGTGATTATTGTTAGAGTTGTGTTTATTGAATACATGTATTGTGCGCAAATTAGGGTTCAAGAAGGCGCGCTTAGGCGCACGCCTAGGCTCAATTAGGCGCTAGGCGGTGGAGGATCGCCTTGACTTGGCCACAAAGGCACTGGTAGCGCTTAGTAGGTAGGAATAGCGCTTAGTTTGCGCCTAGTGGAGAGAATGCGTGCCTGGGCGAGCTTAGACGGTTAAACCCAATACTCTTCGTTTTGTCCTAGAAAATCAGAAACTTGCCTCTTGCCCTAGAAAATCAGAAACACGGGAAGTAACATCTGCTGCCGCCTGCCGCCCTAGCTCTCGCCCCATCTGCTACCGCCTTCCGCCCTAGCTCTCGCCCCATTTGTTGCTCTCTGCCACCGCCGGAGAAAGTCATCGATCACTCTTCTCGCCTTCACACCGCTCCGCTGCTATAGTGGGAAATAAAGTCAAAACTCGTCAATTGTTGCTCCTTCCTTCTCCTCGGTACGTAGCACAAGCTTCTTGCCTTTATAAGCACCTATTAGCATATGATTGGTCACTAATTGCTTGTTATTTGTTAGGGTTAATTGCATGGTTGGTCACTGAAATTATAAAAAGCGTTTATGTTTGGTCACTATAAATATTTATATCCACTTTTGGTCACTAACTTTACAAAAATCATTCATTTATGGTCACTCTCCTTAGCTGCCGTGCAACGCCGTTTACGGCGTCCGTTAAGTGATGACGTGGCTGACGGATTTGCCTAATCAGCACTTTTTTAACCCCAAAATTGACTGACTCGACCCGCAAAGTCAGCTAAACTTAACCAAACCTCTACCCAAATCCGACCAGACCCGCTAACTAAAACCAAACCAGACCAGACACTCAAAATTGTTTGACTAAAACCCTAATCAAAGACTGCCTCCATCCCGCGCAGCCTTCCTCCCTTCCCGGTCACCTTCTCGATCGAGTACCGCAGCTCCGGGTCGTCGTAGAAGGTGGAGTCTTTGATTAAATCTTCCGTCCCCTACCAACCGCATAAACGACAACCGACCACCATAACAATCGGGGAGTACATCATCGATGGTGAGTGCTCCGTCCCATCTCCTCTGCTCCAAATCATACTGGACAATCGAGTACGGGTCGGCGTTGTAAAAGTAGAGGGAGCGTCCGTGAATGACTCCTTCTCGGCGGCTATTGGTTCTAAGATTGGGGGTGATACCGTCACCTTGGTGCCATTGATGGAGGATAGAGTTGTATACAA